CTAACAAGAATGTTAACTGGATCAATTATATCTACTATAACCAACAAAGATTTGTCAATTATACTAGAGATGCCCTTCAGGGCTTGGCAGAACAGTTACAGACTACATCCCAAATTACATTTCATAATCGAATGGCCCTAGACATGATCCTAGCGGAAAAGGGGGGCCATAGAGAAATTAGAAAGTCTTTCTGACAAATTAAAGAGGAACTCGGGAGCCCCCAATTCATGGGACAGATGGTTTGGATGGATGAGTGGATGGCAGAAAACTCTCCTTCAAGTAGGTATAGCAGTTCTTACTGTGGTAATTCTCTTTCTCTTCCTGATTTGCTGTGTGATGCAGAAATATTTACAGAACACTGTAGGTCAGACTATTGACCGGACCACACCTACATTCTACATCAGGATATCGACAATATGGACTGTGACACCCTACACACATCTCTTCAGTCCCACCACCTCAAACAGACAACTACTCCTGTAAAGAAGTTCCCTATGTTATGTACTATTTGCATTCCCTTTTTATCCTCTATTGCTGCCTATTTCATTCGGTAGATGGAACTACCGAACAAGGACCACCCTCTGGCTCATTAAACATCAAAGGTTTAGGTGAAATTGCTACCTCTGTCTGTGCGGCCAGCATTCGTTAGTCGAATGCCACGTGGCAGAGAAAACCACGGCCATCTTTGTTCATGCGAACAAAGGCAGCGGGACCTGGTCGTCAAGTGCATGGAACTGTTTTGCGGACACTCGACTTCCCGAACACCGGTCCCAAACAGACGAACGCTGGAACTCTATTTACCGAATAGCTAGAAGAGCGCTATTCGGTACTTTGGTGCATTCAACAGAGGGGCACGAACGCTGCTAGGAGCCAGAGGGATCCATTCGGTATTTTTATTTGTTTTTATGTTTTTTCGAAAGTGACCGGCAAAATCCACCAAATTCGTGGAGCTGTTTTGGGCATGCAGCCTAGGGTGAGCCGGTCACACAAGACTTCCATAAAATTTGCGAACCCCTGAACCGATCTGGGTGAAATTCGATATGTTGGTCACCCAGATCAGGGCTATCAGGGGACACATAAAATAACCCCAGTATAAAGGGGTGTTTATAAGTTGAAAGTTGAAAGTTGGGGAAAAAGTGATTTTTCAGCCCGGAGATAATTAAGTTACTATTTTATCAGACTAAATTATCTCCTGGGCTAGGGGAGGGAATTGTGGGTGTATGTTAACATTTTACTGTTTGTGATTGGTTACTCTTTGTCCCTCCCTGAGGGCTGTCCCCTTGCATGGGGACTTGCATAAAAGCTGTGTGCACCCATTAAGGGACAGTTCATTTTGTACCCTTCTTCTTGACTTCGGCTGATGTTTGGGGATTCGTGTGTTTCACTGAGGGAATTATCTGGTGAGACTATTGGAATTGCTATAGGATTCATCTACCCTAACTACCGAACGGAGGGCTATAATCACTAAGGCTCTGGCAGTTCAGGAGGAAACTACCGAAGGAGGTTTAAGTATACTTGGTTTCCTTACAACTTCCCTATAGGGACAGCGTCTGTCTCTACGGGCAGAAGTCTGACGCGGGAGATGTAGTGGGTTAGCCGCTACAGGATACCTGTGCAGTGAAGCGTTCGAGGCCTGTTCAGACAGATGAGCTGCAGCCAATTAGGGACATCATTAGGGTTAGTTAGTAGTTGTCTCTCTCTTTCGTAAATAGTCATTTTAAGGGGGGACTGTTGTGAACAAAGATATTAACCCAATCCATGTTGTAAAATGCCTATTTACTCAGTATAACTACAATCAGCATTATTCAACTTTATATGTGATTTACCTAAAAATGGCTGCTAGGGAGTTTTCTCTTGACATCGACTAACACCCTCATTAACAAGATGGCGCTGGAATCTGGGGGAGACCTCCAAGATACCAGTGACATCACACCCGGTAGGAAGAGCAATAAAGTGGATCACTTAACACCTAACCAATTATTGATGTATTATTCCATGTTATCTCTGACAATGCATATGATGTAATTTTGCTTTATAAGGGACATGCCGCCCCCTCAGAATAAACATTCCTCAAGTTTTTAATTCACACCAGAAACCTGTGTCTGGTGTGAATTACTTTAGGAGCATGCACGCATTACTTCTTTAATTTGGCTGGGGGCAGATACGCAAGATAATCAATTAATTAATTGATTCCACATCAGCATATACATAACAATTACATAACATCAATTACAAATATACATATTTAAAATGGGGCACTCCTATTCCCAAATATGGTGTTCCGCCATCCCCAAGATGGTGATGTCATATTAAACCCAAATACCCTCCACAATATCTTCATCAGCACCTTTTCCTCCTGTTTTCCATCTGTACCCGTACTTCTGGTATTGGCCATTTAGATAGACTGGGGGACAGGGCACTCAAATGATGAAATTTAATGTTGAAAAATGCAAAGTTATGCACTTCGGCGTAAAGAATGCACAAGCAACGCATACCCTTAATGGAAGTGAATTAGGGATAACAATACACGAAAAGGACTTGGGAATTGTTATAGACAACAAACTATGTAACAATGTGCAATGGCAATCAGCAGGGGCTAAGGCCAGTAAGGTATTGTCATGCATGAAAAAGGGCATTCATTCTCGGGATGAGATATCATTTTGCCTCTTTATAAATCACTGGTAAGACCACATATTGAAAATGCTTTGCAATTTTGGGCACCTTTTCTAAAGAAGGATATTATGGCACTAGAAAAAGTGCAGAGGTAGGCTACAAAATTAAAAAAAGGAATGGAACATATCAGCTATGAAGAAAGGTTAACAAATTTAAACCGCTTTAGTTTAGAAATACTTTGCCTAAAAGGGGATATGATAACATTATACAAATATATTTAGGGAGAATACAAACCATTGTGTGAAAATCTATTCACAAACCAGACTTTACATAGGACACAAGGTCATGTGTTTGGACTGGAAGAGAGAAGATTTAGTCTAAGGATGTTTTTTTACTGTAAGAACAATAAGGATGTGAAATTATCTGCTTGAAGAAGTGGTTTTATCAGAATCCATACAGATGTTCAAACAACTAGATGCATACAAAAACAGATTATTCAAGGATATAATTTTTCAATGTTGGGTAATAGCTTCTTGATCCAAGGATAAATCTGACTGCCATTCTGGGGTCAAGAAGGAATTTTTTTCCTAATTTTTTGCAAAATTAGAAGTGCTTCAAACTTGTTTTTTTTTGCCTTCTTTTCGATCAACAGCAAAAAACAAATGTGAGGAAGGCTGAACTTGATGGAAGCTAGTCTCTTTTCAGCTGTGTAACTATGTAAATAGGTCACCTCTTCTTAAATATAAGGATCCTAATAAAAATGAGAATAATAGGCTATAGGCTATGACAGCACAATTCTAGATAAGAATGTAGAAAATATTGCACTTTTAAATAAGTCACCTCTTCTTAAATATAAGGATCCTAATAAAAATGAGAATAATACTCACATTCCTTTTATTTTCTAGCAATGTGGGAGCTGTCAAAAGGATAATTGGTAAAAAAAAATGGCATCTTTTAAAACAGGAGGAAGATATAAAGGAATATGTGGGTTCGAAACAAATTTTTTTTTTTAAGGGTGGAAAACATTTCAAACAGATTTTAACAAAAAGTTTTATTGATAAGAAAACTCCAAATAATAATATTTTAACTAATTGGTCACAACAGCAAAATGTTTTTTGGTTTTTTTTTATTCTGGAATGTGCAATGCATGTAAAAAGACAGATATATGTAATAAGAAGGTTTTTAATTTATCTGTGACAAAAAAAGAATATAAAAGAATATAAAATTAATTTGCTGATTACTTGTCACTACCTTTTTTAAATGCACATTTGGATACCAATACATAGGAAAAAGCTCTAGACCAATTAAAGTCAGGATTGGTGGACATGTACGAAATATAAAAAATGGGTTTATCAATCATAGTGTGTCTAAGCATTTTTTAGAACATCATGCATCAGATCATGGGTGTCCGCATGGGGGGAAAGGGGTGGCACTTGGATTTTTCAGCTTGTGCTGCTTTTTTCTTTTCAGTGTGAGGATACAGTGCAATACCTGCGCCTGCCAGTAGGTGGCGCTGTGAACAGAGAAAAGCAGGAAGCTGCAGCTTATCCTGTCTCTCTCATGACTGAAACCACAGGGGAGTAGCACAGAGGCAGCCTACAGATCAGGTAAGTGAGGGATTGGGTGGGGGGGAGACAGCATAGAGGAAGGTAAAGTAGAAGGAGCAGAAATGAGCAGGAGGAGTCAGCAAGGAGTAGGAAGGGGCTGCAAGGGACAGGAGGGGTCAGCAAGGAGTAGGAAGGGGCAGCAGGAAGGGGTAGGGACAGTCTGCAAGGAGCAAGAGGGGTCAGAAGGGAGTAGGAAGAGGCAGCAAAGAGTAGGAAGGGTCTGCAAGGAGCAGGAGGGGTCAACAAGGGGAAGGAAGAGGCAGCAAGGAGGAGGAAGGGTCTGCAAGGAGTAAAAAGGGTCTGCAAGGAGCAGGAGGGGTCAGAAAGGAGCAGGAGGGGTCAGCAAGGAGCAGGATGGGTCAGCAAGGAATAGGAAGGGTCTGCAAGGAGCAAGAGGGGTCAGCAAGGAGTAGGAAGGGGCAGCAAGACGTAGGAAGGGACAGCAGGAAGGGGCAGCAAGAAGCAGGAAAGGTCTGCAAGGAGACAGAAGGGGAAGCAAGGAGAAAGAAGGGGTAGCAAGGAGCAGGAAGGGGCAGAAAGAATCAGAAGGAGCACAAAGGTAAAATAGGAGAAGGAACAGAAAGGGTCAGCAAGGGGCTGCAAGAAGCTGGAAGGAGCAGGAAGGGCCTGCAAGGAGCAGAAAGGGATCAGAAAGAGAAAGGAGCAGAAGGGCGCAAAATAAGCAGAATGTTGCAGAAAGGTAAAGGAGCAGAAGGAGCCTCAGAAGAAAAAGAAGACCGTGTCAAATGAAGGAGAAGAAAATGAGATTGGAGCACTTCATTCTGGACACCACATCATAAGGCGTTGGTACCTGGGCTTGGCAGGGAAACTTTAGACCTTCTCATCTCCCCAGGTAAAAAAAATATCAGTGTTAATGTGTTCACTTGTATTTACTGATTGTCAGGAAACACAGAGGGCCGCTGGATAAAGTTGCCGCTGATTGGCTAGAGGGTCAGCTGGCACTCTAAGCCAATCAGTAGCTCCCCATTCATAAAAACGTAAAACATTTTTATGAATTGGGAACTAGCTCCAGAACCTTTCAGCTGACCACTCTAGCCAATCAGCAGCACCCATGCCTAACATCAATCTGCATTTCCCGACACTCTGTTTCAGAAGCCGAGTACCACTGAGTGACCTGGAGATCTGGAGCTGGAGGAAGCCTTTGGGGGTAAACCATTTGAGAGTGGTATCATCCCTTAAAGGAAAGAGCGCCCAGGGGCCTCCTTGCATCATAGCATTTTCATTTAGATGAAGTTGTTATGGTGACCAGAATGTTCATACATATATATATTCCTGACACCATAGTTGTGAAAACGCTATTCATCCTGGCTTTATGTGAAAATGACTATGCTCCTTCCCTTTCATGACACTGTCAAAAAGGGGCCAAGCATGAATGTCATTACATTTATGCCCCCTCCACCCCCCAAAAAAAAATTCCTGCAGATGCCCATGCATCAGATCCTAAATATTTGGCCTTTTTTTTGCAATTGAGATGGTTGATATACATTGGAGAGGAGGAGATCTAGCCAAAAAATTAAGTATCCATGAGGCAAATTGGATTTTTTAATAATGCACTTTGGTCCCTTGATTTTGAGATAAATCCAATGTTGTAAATATTTTTATATTTCATCATAAGTTGCAATTCATAATTTTTATACATATTCTAACTTATTTTTACCAATTTTATTAATAGGGTATCATTAATTTTGTGGCTTATGTTTTGTCACAGTTCTCGCCATGACATTCAGACATGGTTGCTCCAGAAATGCCCAACAGGGCATTTGAACCTGAGGCCTTATGCATTCCAAGCCTACATTCCTGCCTCTAAACCACTATTCAGTTCATGTGTCTGCCTATGTCCTATCCTGCCTTGTCTGCAGCACTAGGGGGCTGGACTTCACCAGTGGCTCCCACCTATCAATCTCAGCCCACCTGAAGCTGAAGGCCCAATTAGGCAGTTACAAGACATTGCCTCTCCCTGAGGCCAGTGTCAGTTCATTGACTCTGGTTCCTGCAGTGGCGTACTAAGGGGGGGCAGAGGGGACGGTCCGCCCCGGGTGCCACCAGGGTGGGGGGTACTTGGGAGGGGGCGCCGTCAGGAGCGCCGCCCCCCTCAAGCTGCAGCCACCCGAGCGCTCTGCAGAGAGCCCCAGGCGGCTGCAGCTTTGCCCGCCCGGGCGCAGCCTGAGGAGAGGGGCTGACAGGAGGGCAGCACTCCCTCCTGTCACTCCCTCTGTTGTAGCGTGGCCGAGCCCTGTATCATGGTCAGCGGGTACAGGGAGCATCTGTCTCCTGTACCCGGCCGGACTAACAGGAAGTACACACTGACTGTGCACTTCCTTTTAGTCCTGCCGGGTACAGGAAACACTCCCTGTACCCGCCACCAGAACCGCGCCAAGAAGAGAATTGGGAAGGGATAAAAAAGAAGGGGGATAAATAAAGATTAGGAGGGGAGATAAAAGAAAGATTGGGGATAAAGAGATTGGGAGGGATAAAGAAAGATTGGGAGGGATAAGGAAATGGGAGGGATAAATAAAGATTGGGAGGGTATAAAGAAAGGGGGATAAAGATTGGGAGGGGATAAAGAAATTGGGAGGGGCGAGAAGGAAATTTAAGGGGGGTAAAGAAAGATTGGGAGGGGGGATAGAGAAAGAAATTGGGAGGGGGAGAAGGAAATTGGAGAGAGGGATAAAGGAAGAAATTGGGAGTGGGATAAAGAAAGAAATTGGGAGGGGGATAAAGAAAGAAATTGGGAGGGGGAGAAGGAAATTGGAGAGGGAGATAAAGAAAGAAATTGGGAGGGGGTAAAGAAAGAAATTGGGAGGGGGGAGAAGGAAATTGGAGTGGGGAGAGAAGAAAATTGAAGATTGTGACATTCATCACACACAATGCACCCCTTACACACAGAAAAACACACAATGCATTACACACACTGCATTACACACACAGACACAAGCAATGCAACCGTTACACACAATGCATCCCTTACACACACAGAAACACACAATGCATTTATTACACACACTCAATGCACCCCTTACACATACTCAATGCATCCCGTACATACACAGAAACACACCTTGCAGCCCTTACACATACAAACACAGATTCACACAATGCAGTCCTTACACACATATCAGGACATCCCCTAGACACTCCACCCCCTGTGAACAAACTCATTGGTGGAACATGAAGGTGGACCCTGGGACCCAGACCTTGAGCTGTGTAAAGGGCCCCCCAAAAATGGAGCTGCTTCCCGTTCTCCCAGAACATTGATTTTTGTGACCACAGTTAAAAACCGCCTCCAGAGAGCCTGTTTTACACCAGACCAGTGGAGCCAGACTGCAGCTAGAGCCCATCATCATCCTCATCTGGTTGTAAGTAGGCAATCTAGTATATTATTCGTGGCACTAATCTCTAATTTACCTCACATTAAAGAAACACTATAGTCCCCAGAACCACTGCAGCTTAATGTAGTGGTTCTGGTGTCTATCGCCTGTCCCTGCAGGCCTTTTACTGTAAACACGGCGGCACTGCAGCACTGGCATTAGATAACATGGCAAATCATATGGGTGGGGCATTGTGATGTCACATGTGGGGCATCAAACTTTACTTTTGCCTAAGGCGGCAAAAATCCTTGCACCAGCCCTGGCTGGAGGGGGCTGTGTGAGCTCTGGCCGCACAGTGCCCCATGGTAGTTAGGGTGCCGTGCGGCCAGTACAGCTCACACAAGCAAACAGCTGATAAACTGGCCGCACGGAGGAAAAGTGGGGCAGAGCTAAGCAAAATCGGAGCCAAACTGG